CATTTAATCTACGCTTATTGGTGCTCAAGGCCTCAAACCTGTTCCTGAGATGGTTTTGAAATTTGAGTGGAACAGACTTAAGGTCAAATTTTGGTTCCCGTGGATTTAATTTAATTTTCCTCAACTTCAGCTTGAACTTGCATGTGAGTAGTTGGTGGTCTATCCCACAATCAGCACCTGGCCTTTAGTAGTTGTGAAAGGGTCTGTTTCCTCTGTATAGTCCCTGATGTGCCCTTGTATCTTTTGATTGTATGTTCTTATCTCCATCTTTCACATTGGAGGTTTTCTTTGCCTTTGTGGTAATTGTCACCACCTGTCTACTGATATTTAAGAATGGGGCCTTCTACGATTAGGGGGATTGTTGTTGTGGACCTCACTGTAGGAAAGATGTCAGGTCACTAAGTTGAAAACCCACTGACGTTACTATGTTTAAGTCCTTTTTTCCTGGACTGACCATGTTCCCTAGAAAAGGCTCATTTTCTGAGTGAAATAATGGATGCTAGCATTCTAGAAGTTGGGGTGAGAGGATTTTTTGGCACTACTTTTCTAGACTCTATTCAGACAATCCCCATTGTAGCTATCTTCTGTATCTATAAATATTAATACTATAAGAAGATCATACTTGTCTCAAGGATTATGTGGATTTTATATATATATGTATATAAATTAATATATGTATATAAATTATAATAATAATATATGTTTATATGCATGTATATACATGTATATAACCACCTGGCCAACTAACTGAAAGAAATCCATATTTGTTCCTATTCCAAAAAAATGATTACCTGAGAGTGTGGAAATGATCAAATAATATCATTAATTAATATCACATGCAAGCAAGATTCTACTGAAAATTATCCAAAAACAACTGGAAAAGCACATCAACAGAAAACTGCCAGATGTGCAGGCTGGGTTTAGAAGATGTCGTGGTACTAGGCATATTATAGCCAATGTTAGATGGATCTTGGCTGAAAGCACAGAGTATCTGTGTTTCATTGACTATGAAAAGGCATTTGATGGTGTGAATCATAGCAAACTGTGGCTAACTCTGAGAAGAATGGGAATGCCAGGAACACTTGATTGTGTTTATGTGAAAGCTATACTTGGAGCAGGAGATAGTTGTCAGAACAGAGCAAGGAAACACTGCATGATTCAAAATCGGGAAAAGTGTACACCAGGGATGCATCCTATCTCCATACCTTTTCAATCTATGTGCAGAACAGCTCATCTGGGAGACTGGGCTCTATGAGGAGGAGTGTGACATCAGGATTGGAGAAAGACTCATCAACAATCTGTGTTATGCAGATGATACAACTTTCCTTGTCAAAACTGAGGAAGACCTGAAGCATTTGCTGAAGAAGGTCAAGGACTGTAGTCTTCAATATGGATTGAAGCTCAACATCAAGAAAACAAAGATTCTCACCACTGGGCTGATTAGCAGCATGATAGACGGTGAAGAGATTGAGATCATTAACAGCTTCAGCTTGCTTGGCTCCACAATCAACATTCTTAGTGCCAGCATTCAGAAAATGAAAATATGAATTACATTGGAAAAATCTGTATTCAGGGACCTCTCCAGAGTACTGGAGAGAAATTATGTCAGTCTAGAGACTAAGGTGTACTTGATTCAGGCCATGGTCTTTGCAATTACTTGCTATGGATCAGAAAGCTGGACAATGACTAAGAATGGTAGAAAAAGAACTGATACCTTTGAGCTGTGGTGCTGGAGAAGAGTATTGAATATACCGTGAACTGCTAGGAGAACAAACAGGTCTGCACTGGAGAAGGTGAAAGCAGGCTGCTCCTTGGAGGCAAGGATTTTGAAGTTCTATTTGACATACTTTGGGAATGTGACTAGGAGGGACCAATTCTTGGACAGGGACATCGTGTTTGCAGGGGTGGAGGGACAGTGCAGGAGAGGAAGACCCTGGATGAGATGTATTGATTCAGTGACTGAGGTAATGGGCGTAGGTGTGTCACAATGAGGTTGGCTCAGGATAGAGCAGGGCTCAGAGCTGTGCAGACTCATAGGGTCTCTGTGAGTCTCAAGCAATTTGATGGCACATAACAACAAGCACCACCATTGAATTAGAACCAACCCATAACTGATTCTCCAGCAGGTTTTCATGAGCAGTAAATCACATGGGAGGAGATTGCCCATCTTTCTCTCATGGAACAGCTGCTGGATTCAAACCATGTATCTTGCATATAGTCAGTTGTTCTAGCTATGGATTTCTTTTATTTTTTTAACATGAATTCAACCAGATCTGGTTTATTCACTGTTGAATTGGAATTGACGTCGGTCAATCTGAACTACTATTTGGGGAGTATGGGATGGAAACAGGAGTTCTGGTGGTGCTGTGGTTAAGATATTTGCTGCTAACCAAGTACTTGACATCACAAACCCACCAGTCACTCCACAAGAGAGAGGTAAGACAATCTGGTTCTAGTTTCTAAGATTACTACCTTGGAAATCATGAGAGAGTTCTACTCTGTCATACAAGATTGCTATGAGCTGGAATTCACTTGATAGTTTAGTGTAGAAATAAGGAAATATTTTAGGACAGACAAAGATCCTATACAGATTGTTGGGATGTAATTCACATGAGCTCTAATATAGCTCTCTGAAGTTTCTTATTTATTTATTGCTTCAAAATCAATAGCCTCTGACCTGTGATTTTGAAATACAATGTCAAGTCTACATGGGCACATGGTTATGACTACAAATTTAGTACAAAAGGAATAATTATTAACTCTCTCACAAAGCAACTATTTAAAAACCCTTTTACTGAAATTTTCTCACCAACTAGAGAATTTTCCTGGGAGCAGGATCTCTCCAGGGGCTTTTTTATCTCTACCATGAATGCCAGAGACATAAACCAAGCAGAACTGACCAGCCTCTTCTCAGCATCCATGCTTCATCTCCTTGTTGCTATCCCCACTGCAGTCCCTCAGGATTATTGGTGGCCTGTTTCTATCCTGATCCTGAACACTCCCTCATGACTCTTCCACAGAGATCAAATGGCCAAACACGCCACCCACAGCTGGAGCCATTGGTGTTGAGCTTACTCTCTCTCTGCCTACACTGGACACTATTATTTTTGTCTTTGAACTTTGCTCCTTGTTTCCTCACTGACAGGCCTTACACCTTTGCAGAAGCTGTCTGGATCCAACCCCTTGTGTTCTGACTGGGATGCCTGAAGAGGTGGTGGTGGTGGTTGATGTGTCCCCCTACGCCCCCTGCTGGTCACAGGATACTACTCTAAATTGATCTGTGATTACATAATATATGAAAGGGTGTGGAGGTAATGGTAGCCCTTTTTGGGAGGACTTATCTGTGGGATCCTTCTTCAGCAGGGTACCGCCACAAGGCAGGCCTTTGACCCCTGTGCAAGGAGGGTGAGTTCCCTGGACTTTTCTTTGCCACTCATCATGTCTTCAAGTCTCCCATGAAGAGACTATGAGCCTTTTCTCCAGATTGTTCGTTGACTGTGCATCTAGCGGATGCCTTAGACATGAACTCATTTGCTTGGGTTGATCATAAATTCTTAGAGGACATCTGGAATACACTAGCTCCAAAGACCAACATCTAGATGGATTCTGATAAAATGTGTATTGACCGTCTGATTTCTCCTTCAAAGGTTAATATGAGCAAAGACAGGGAGTATATGTCAACATTCAAAACTGGTCACTAAATGGGAAGGATATGGTGGGGACCTGAAAAGATTGGGTAATGATGGTCAAAGTCCAATGGTGATTGATTTTATAACACGTAATGCATAATGAAACACATGTGAATGAAGAACAGTGTGAAATAACAATATTTATGAACTTTGTGAGCAAACTAATCTAAAACCTCCAACCAAAAACTAGTCACTGATGGATTTCCCACTATGATGTGGTACTTTAAATGCTCCTCTTTCTCTTTCTCTCTCTCTCTTTTTTTTTTTTAAATTTCACACCGGTTTACTTACAAAGTTCATCTACATTGTCTCTATAATTTTCCATCCATTCCTAGGATGGAGCTTATCTAAACTTTCCACTGTTTCACTTTGCTTTGTTCCCCGACTAGATGCATCCATTCACAAGCAGAAGCAGTGGTTTAGAGAGACCTTTGAACACCTGCTTGAAATTGCCAATTCCTCGGAAGCTGGAGACGCTGGTGTTCACCTGGTGTCTGGGTAAGAGAGGAAATAAAAGGCTATTTTAGAATTCCAGTTAACAGACACTAGCATTCAACATAAAATATTTATGATCTACCGGGAGTAAACTGCTGAACTAGACACCACAGGAATTAGAAACAATGTTTTAGGCTTTACTCCAAAGAACTTAAGAAAGACAAATTAGGGCTTTCCACCTTTTAACAACAAAATCCATTATGGTTTCTTATTACAAATACTATTTTGAGTTTCCTCAGGGAACATGCACTGATTTGCAAATACAGCTAAGAGAGAAGATATTAGATCAATGCTAAGTTAGGCTACTTGGGGCTAGTGTAATACTAGACTAGTACAGAATTCTAAGGTGGTGATGTTATGCTGTCAAGTTGGCTATGAGTCAGTGAGCCTATGAAAAATAGATAGAAACTTTGCTCTATCCTTTGCCATGCTCACTCTATCTACCATACTCAAGTCCATTGTTGCAGTGATATTTGTTGTTTACCGTGGAACCTGAACCAACCCATAGCTGACCGTGGCAGGTTTTCAGAGACAGTTAATTGCACAAGAGGAGATTCAACCCATAGCTGACCGTGGCAAGTTTTCAGAGACAGTTAATTGCACAGGAGGAGATTGCCTAGCCTTTTCCCATTGAGCAGCTGGTGACCTCGAACTGTGTGTCTTCAGTATTGTAGTGCAGTTTCTTGCACTAGGCCTCCAGAGCTCTCTGCACCTTATTTATTGTACATCATTGGAGAATGAGGTGTTCCAAAGAACAAATTTTAAGTCACTAAAATGACCTTTTAAAGTGCTATATTTTGGGGAGGGGAATCTTACATGGTTAGCATACTTTTCCTTGATTTTTAATATCTGATTTCAGGAAACATGTAAATAAAATGATAGAATTTGGCATTAATGCAGTGACTGTAATAATGGACTTGGGCTTATCTGGGATGATGAGGATGGCACAAGATAGTGCAGAGTTCAGATCTGTTGTTTCTAAGGTTGCTGTGAGTCATAGACTACTTGATGACACTTAATCACAGCCACCTAGTTCACATATCTAATGCCCACATTTAAAATATGACACTATTTTCCTGGAACTTCTTAAACAGAATGGCAAAACCTTCTATCACTTTTAGTTTATGTCTCCGGAACATAAATCAAAACATGAGAATAATCATTGTCCTTGTGCAGATGTAGAAATGAATGTTTCTCTTTCTTGTAAAATTTTATTGTGTTTTTTAGTGAGATTTATGCAAGGAGGTTTCCATTTGATGTTCTCCAGACATGCTCTGTGACATTATCTACATTTTTCATGATGGGTCACCATTCTCTTTCATTCTCAGTGGTTGTTCTGTTCCCAGTGTTTCAGTTTCCCTGCCTGTTATCACCTCATCTTTACTTGTGAATCATTGTTGACCTTTCGGTCACACACAGAGGGTTTCTCAGTAAAGCACCATAAGCACAAGTAATAGCTTTTATTTTATATACTGTTCTCTTTCACTCAAAGGTGACCTCTGGGCTTAGTTTCAGTTAAAAGTTTAAGGAAGGTCTTAGGTCAATAGTCTCAGGGAGTTGTCTGTTCTCAACCAATCTAGTTGACAGGCCTTTTTAAAGACTCAGTTTTTCTGTTTTTCTTCCATTCTATTCAGGACAATCTATTGTGACTCTGATCAGAATGGCCCAGGGACTGCTCTGAATAAATTACCTAGAGATTCATTACTACGTCATTTCCAACATGGAAAGTCCTCATATTCTTTGCTATTTTAGAATGCCCATGATTTACATTTGTTCCTGGTGGTGAGGACAACTCAATAAAGACAACTTATAAACAGATGCCTACCCCCATTTCACTGTAGTGAGTGTGGGTGGCCTCATGGTAAGAAATATGCTACAATCTCAAAGGCACGCAGTCTGAATCCACCAGCTGCTCCATGGGGGAAGGATGGGCAATCTCCTCCCACGCAATTTGCTCCCTCTGAGAATTTGCTGTAGGGTCAGCTATGAATCATTTCCAACATGATGGTGAATAGCAGCAACAACAGTAGCAGCTATTTATGGCAGGCGAAGCTTCCTCTCTCATACCTTGGGCATGATGCTCTGAGAGGCTACTCCTTGAAAAGGGACAACATGCTTTGAAAAGTGTGACTGCAGCAATGGTTGAGTGTGTCAGAGATAGTGAGGATGGCACAAGATAGGACAGGGTTCAGGTCAGGAATTCATAGGGCCACTATGAGTTTTGTTTGACTTGATGGCACCTAACAACAATACCAGCAGCTATTGGTAGTGTCTTCTTAATGACCAATATCATTCTAGCCTCATCTGTTCTATACCATGGCAGTTACTTAGTGATATAGGGCTCCTCTTCACAGCACTTTTGCCCTAGACCTAAACCTAAATTTGAGGATCTACAACTACTTAGGAAGCTCTGATGGTCTACTGGTAAGAAATTGCACTGCCAAGCCAAAGGCACCTGGTTCAAATCCATCAGCTGCTCAACTGGAGAAAGATGGGCATTTTCTTTCCATGCAATTTATCTGCCTCTGAAAACCCACTGGAAGGTCAGCTATGAGTCATTTCCAACTCAACAGTACTCAACAACAACTTGATTAAATCATTTCTATCCCTTGCTTCCAGCACTTTCTCCACTCCTCATTCCAATGAAGAGATTCTGTTCAAAACTGGATCTTACTATTAGACTTTTGATGCTTTACTTGCAGTTTATGTAAAGCATTGTAGAAAAACAGAAAACTTTTACCTCAAAAATATGTAAATAAAAGATAAAATATAAATAGGTTATAATCTAAGAATAAGGAGAACCTGGGCAGACACTTTCATGAAAAAGAAATTCAGTTTAATCATTAAAAGACATGTTATTTTAAAAATGTCTTATTCTATAAATCATGGACATTGAAAATTTAACCACTGAATTATGTGAACCCAAGAGAAGTGATTGATTTTTTCCTTTTTATAATTTTAGAAAGGGTATGTTTTTAATCTTCAAAGAGAAAAACTTAAAGATCTGTATGCAGAGTGAATAGTAATATAAATGATGGATTTGGGTTCATAATAAGGTATCAGTATTGATTCTTCAATGGTGACCTATGCTCCATATGAATAGTAATAGAAGGAGAAAGTATGCATCAGGAAGAGGAACTCTCTGTACTTACTATGCATTTTTTCTGTAAATCTGAGAGAGTTCTGAAAAATAAAGTATATTTTTAAAAAGTGCTTTGGAGAATAGTACAGGAAGTTCAGTAGCCAAGTGTTATTTTCATAAGAATTCAGGAAACGTCTCTGTCTAATATGTTTGAGTTGGCAGATATTTCAAAATCTTCCTACTGAAGAAGTGCCATTCTGGGCTGATGTGGTGCTGGGATTTCGAAAAATGACTGGGGCTGAGCTGAAGAAATTCCCCCGGCATGCATTTGGCCAGGCTTTCACCACCCTGAAATGTGAATGCCCTGCTTATCTGCCCTGGTTGGAAAAAAGGTCAGTCAAAGTGGTCTTTTACGGTTTCCATTTAGCAATCATAGCCACAAGCAAGTTTATAACTATTCATAAATATGTGTTGAAAGTTGTCCTGTGCTCTGTCTTTTCATTCACAAGTGGTTGTCATTGGTGTCATTGAGTCAATTCCAACTCATAGAGACCTCTGTGACAAAGTAGAACTTCTCCATAGGATTTCTAGACTGTAATTGTTATTGTATACCACCGAGTGGGAACTGATCCTCCAGCAAGTTTTCAGAGTCCGTGACTCACAGAGGAACTGTATGTCAGGCTGCTAACCGAAAGGCAGCACTTTCTGTCACATTGGTCACGTTGTCTGGAGGTGTCAGTCCTTGGAAAAGTGCTTCATATTTGGAAAAGTAGAGGGTCAGTGAGGGAGGAAGACCTTCAGTGAAATGAATAGACACAGTTGATTGCAACGGTAGGCTTGAACATGGTGGAGATAGCGAGCATGGCACTAGATGTTGTTGTTATTGTCAGGTACAGTTGAATCGGAACCAACATATAGCTGATCCTCCAGTGGCTTTTCAAAGGCAGTTAATCACATGGGAGGAGACTGCCCATTCTTCTCCTATGGAGCAGCTGGTGGATTCAAACCTTGTGCCTTCAGGATTGCAGCACAGTGCTAGTCCTTGGAAGAGTGGAGGGCCAGTGGGAGAGGAAGATCCTCAGTGAAATGAGGTTGACTGCAACAGTGGAGCATGGTGGAGGTTGTGAGAATGGCACAAAAGAGGGCAGGGCTTTGACCTGTTGCTCATAGGGTCGTTAAGAGTCATAGCCTACTTGACAGCACCCAATAACATAGGAACAGATCAACAGGTCTTTCTTCTGTAGAGCTACAGCCTGGGTTTGAACCATCAACCTTTAAGTAAGCAATCAGATACTTAACCATTGTGCCACCAAGGCTCCTTTTTAAGTATAAGTGCTTTGTAAAAGAATCTTAAGACAGAGCTTGTGTCTCAAGGAATGAGCTGTACAATTTGTGATAAACTACTAATAAAAACTTTTACATCCAAACTCACTTAGAAATACCATAGGAAAAGGGCCTTGAGATCTATTACTACAATATTGTTGTTGTTAGGTGTTGTAGAGTCAAGTATGACTCATAGTGGCCTTATGAATAACCAATCTGAACACTGTCCTATCTCATGACATCCTTTTTTATTTTTAACAAACTCATTGCCATAGTCACCATGTCAATCCACCTAGTTGAGAATCTTCCTCTCTTCCTCTGTCCCTCCTCCTTTCCAAGCATGATGTCCCTCTCCAAGGAATAATCTTTCCTAGCAACATGCCAAAGCATGTGAGACAAAGCTTCACAATCTTTGCCTCCAAGATGCATTGTGGCTGCAACTTCCCCAAGACATATCTACCCTTTTGGAAGTCCATGGTTATTCAACACTTTTTTCTCTACCACAGTTCAAAGATATCAATAATTCTTCTGTCATCCTTATTAATTGTCCACTCTCGGCCATGACAAGTTACTGAAAAGACCATGGCCTGAATCAGGAGCACCTTTGTCCTCAAAATTGCATCATTACTCCTCATTTGGAGAAGTCCCTGACTGCAGACTTGCCCAGTGCAGTACATCTCCTGATCTCCTGACTGCTGATACAAAATGTATTGATTGTAGATCCAAGTAAGATGAAACTGTTAACTGTATCAATCCTTTCTCTGTCCATCATGATGTTGCCTATCAGTACAGTGGCAAGGATTTTTGTTTTCTTGCTGTTGAGATGCAATCCATAGTGAAGGCTGTAGTGTTTAAACTTATGCAGCAAGTGCTTCAAGTCCTCCTCACTTTCAGTAAGCATGGTTATATCATCTGCATAATGAAGGTTATTGATGAATCTTCCACCAACAGCTTGTTGAATCATTTGATCAGAATGCAGATTAAATAGATATGGAGAAAGGATAAAACCCTGACACACACCTTTCCTAATTTGAAACCATATTGTGTTCCCTTGCTCTGTTTACACAACAGCCTCTTGGTCTAGGTATATGTTTTGTACAGCACAATCAAATGTTCTGGAATTCTTCTCAATGTTAGCCATAATTAGTTATGATCCACACAGTCAAATGCCTTTTAATAGTCAATAAAAAAATAGACATTCTTCTGGTATTCTTTCAGCCAGGATCCATCTGACATCAGCAATGAAATCTCTATAGCCTCTTCTAAATCTAGCTTGAATGTCTGGCAGTTCTTTTTCTATGTACTAGTCTAGTCATTTTCTAATGATCCTCAGCAGTATTTTGCTTGCATGCAGTATCATATTATTTGATAATTAGTGCACTCTGTTACAGCCTACAATTTCCTGCAATATTTCTCTAAACAGAACTCTGTAGATTAAGGTCTGCTCTGAAACACATAAGGGCATAATGACTTGGAATGTACTCAACAGTAATGAGTTTACTTTAGGTTCAACTTGATATGTGGTTTGTTGAGGTTTTTTTCCCGTCAGTGTTGTTAGTTTCTGTCAAGTTGGCTGTGACTCATGGCGACTGCAGATACAATAATACACAATGCTGGCTGGTCCTGCATCATTTTCGTGATTGCTGGCATGCTTGAGCCCACTGTGGCCTTATATCTCTGAAGCCTCATTTTTCCACATTATATTGAACAATATATTTTGTTGTGATCCGTAGAGTTTTCATTGGCCAATTTTTGAAATTAAATTCTCAGACCTTTCTAATAATTTATCTTACTTAGCCTAGAATCTCTGCTGAAATCTGTCCTCCAAGGGGACTATTTGGAATACAAGTGGTATCGCTTCCAGAGTCTTAGCAATATGCAAGCCACCACAGTAATGAGAGAGAGCAATTTCAGGCAAAATTTTTGTTTGTTTAAATTGCTTTTCTTTAATTTAAAAATATTTTTAATTGACTTTTTAAAATTTGAGTGACACTTTACAAATCCTATTGGTTTTTCATTAGTCACTCATAGACATTTATTTTATAACATTACCAAAAGTCTCTTGAACTCTGTTTAGTTTAGTCTGGAAATTGCAAGTGTGTTGAGAGTTGTGCTTTCCCCCAATTTCTATTTTTTTGGTGGATAAATAGAAATGATGTAAATTACTGTGTACATGTTGGAAAAATGGCTTAAGGCAAGCAGTTGAATAATGACTTGGCCTCAGTATTTAGAAGTTTGTTATGTGCTCTTGAGGCAGAGCCTACTTACAACTGACCCTCCAGGAGATTTCCAGAGGCAGTAAAATGCGTGAGAGTAGATTGCCCATTACCCATCATTCCCCTGGGGTTCTGGGTTGACAGTGCAAGTCCTTACCCTAAGCCACCAGTGCTTCTTTTTAGAAAATGGGCTCCATAATTTCATGATAACGTATGTTCAGGCCTAACCTCTAATTGTGAGGTGAAGGTCTTGGAAAATCTGCACTGCTCCCTCACTGGTTGTAATCTGACTCACTAGCAATATCTTACTTAAAATAACCTCGAGAAAGAAGTTCTCTGTGTCAGTGGGAGCCATCTTCTGACTGGAATACCATATACCTGTTGACTGGCCAGATAGGGCCTTTGACAAGCCACTCCCTGCCGGTATGTAGGTTATAGGCATTAGGGGGAAGACAAGAACGTTCCTCATCATGCCCACCATGATGGCATTATCTAGCCTCTTCTTCATCATGTCTAGTATGACTACAGTAGACAATCTCCTGTGGGGAAACCGTGGAGGAGAGGGGGACGCTTGTCTCAGCAACACCTCCACCTGCCCCTTCACTCCTTGCTCTCATCCCTTCAGACCTCCTCCTGCTTCCCTGTGCCGAGGCTCCACCCCAGGTGCCAGACAGACACCGCTCTTGGTGGAGGTTAACTAGCTCCTTCCTTTCCTCAAAGGCCCTATGGGGCCCAGTGTGTGCTCCACTGCTAACCTAAAGGTTGGAGGTGTGAACCCACCTGGTGGTATCTCAGGGGAAAAGGCCTAGCAACCTGCTTCTGTGAAGAGTATAGCTAAGAAATGTGACCAATGCCACAAAGCTAAATGTGTGTAAATTGTTGAATGGAAAACCAATTTGCTCTATAAATTGTCACCCAAACCACAATAAAAAAGTTTTTTTTAAAAAGTAAAGATTAGTGCTCACTTCAGCAGTACATATACTAAAATCGGAACTACACAGAGAAGATGAGTGTGGCCCCGGCACAAGGATGACACGTAAACTCGTGAAGCGTTCCACATTCTTAGAAGAAGATTGCACAAGGGAGCTCTTTGACATCTTGCCTGCAAGGGATCACTGTGGGGCCCACAAATTCTTCAATGGTTTAAATTAAATCACCTGGGCACCTGGATATTTTCTTTATAGTTTTAAACATGCCATCTGTTTCTAATTTGTGTAAATTCATGTGAACTTTGTGGATTTTGACAGAGACGAGGAACTTCCACACAATTAGCAGTCATTCCCATCTTAATAAAGTTCAGTGAGTGACATGCAAAAAACAAACAAAAAATTACACCTAAGAAAACCTTCTGGAGCATTCTATTCTGTAACCAGGTCCAGATTACCCAGTAAAGTTGGTATTGATTTACTTAGTAAGCTGTAGTGAACAGTTTCACATGTTTTTCACCACATATTTTGTTCACTATACATTAATAGGAGGTCTGGTGGCCTAATCAGTAAGCAGTTGTACTGCTAGCCTGAAGGCCTTGTGTTTCTGTGGTTCTTTGAATACACCAGTAGCTCTGAGAGAGAAAGATGAGCAATCGTCTTCTCCTGTGCAATTTATAGTCTTAGAAACCTAATGGAGGGCCACCTCCAACTCAACAGCAATAAGAAGGAGAGAGAGAAAAGAGTAAACATAAGTAAACCTGTGTGTGCCTTGCTCACTGAGTAGTAGTAGTCTGACACTATCTTTAACAAATGGTTTCCATGACTAAGAATTGACTAGAAGGCAACTAATGGTATTTCCTCCCCTCTGAACGTGTTGTGTGAAGACGACGACCACAGGCCTGCTTTTCTCCTGCAGGAGCCCAT